AGCCGAAATGCTGCTTCATTGGACAGCCTTGACAATTATGTCGCCTGAGTATAGAAACGCGGTTCGATAGTTTTAGTACACATACTTAATACCAAATGGATAACAAATTGTACCATTCGAGTATCTTACCACGTATCTTTGAAACGGGGCTCTCTGTAGTTGTGTGTCGTCCCTAGTGGCAACGTCGTACACATCTTCGATCACATCTTCCTCGTTGTCCTTGTCAATCGCCTCCTTAGTGTACGGGGGCTTGATATGTGTCCTCATAGACCTGTGAATCCACCGTAGGTACTCTTCGAAGGTGTGCTGGTCGTGTGGGGGACCCGCATCGACCGGTTGTCGGTCCCTATTTTGCCACATCTGGATGTACGCGTTGTGTGTCATGTGTCAATCCTTGGTCTTATACCTCTTCCTACGATCATACCTGCAACAAAACGATTGTTAGTTGTACCATACACACCTCTAAATTATAGCTTTGTTATTAATCAATAACACACCCATGCAATTCTTGGTTGGTGGAGTAAAGCGGTGGTGGGTAGCCTGTCATTCTTCCAAACTGCCTGCAAACCCTGATGGGCAAGTGAATCTCGACCACGTGGAAGAAAATAAGAGGGATGTTGCAGCGATACTCATCTGACTCATCCCTAGTGACAGGACTCAGATAGTACTCGAGCTTCGGAGCATCCTAAAGACACCAATGCACCTGAACATTTTGTAATTGAGTTAGGTTGTGAAATAGTGTACATCGAACAAGACACATATATGATAGTAAAGAGAGTTTAACCTGGTGCTGTGTCAGGACGTCGAGACCATCTGTGTACTCTCTGTACTTATGCCTCGTATTCCCTCTAACTAACTCTGCTTGCGTCCAGATATACAGAGCTGTAGGGAGTGTATCCTGCCCGTTCCAATGCTGCATTGAACACGATAATAAATTAGCCATTAATAATTTAATCATATGTAACTGACTCGAAGAATATAGTGAACCGAAGTCTTACCAGTAAACCAGTAGCAAGGGGCCTTCCAACAGGCCATCATTCCCAACACCAAACCTGGAGTAGGTAGGAGCAATCCCCAAGGTTTGCATACCCTAAGGTGCGACGGCAGGCAACACATAGCTATCGATACATCCATGCCAGGACTACGCTGCCTCAGCTGTACACCGCTATGTTATCCCACGGCTGGCGTAGTATGTCAAGGAAGATCCAGCTGATGGTGTTGTCCGAGGCGTCTAGGAAGAGGAAAGCACCAAGGAAGTGCCAAAGCCACACTCTAGCGAACCTGTCGATCTTAGTCTCATCAGCATGTGGGTCCAAGTAATCAAAGCGCTCTGTGATCCACGACGATGAAACACCGGAACTTTTCCTGAAATTCACCAAAGAAAATGAGACCCGATGGCTGCAGGAAAGCAATGCAAGTATTGAATAGGCTTAAATTGCTCACTTATTTTTCTTTGAAACATCGTCGTCCGGTGGAAGAAAGCCAGTGAACTGAGCCACCAGCTCCCTCCAGTGATCGTTGTCAACTATACCTATCACTGGAAGTCCCCCCAACCGAAGACCAAAGATAGCCTTCACGTCCTGCATGGTCAATGTCATCTCGCCACAAGGTAGGTGGAACGTGTGGGTCTCAGGCCTCCACCTGTTATAAGAATAAAACGACTATTAGTTGCCTCAAATTTGTTATAAAAATGTTTACGTACAATGAAGGCACTCGCACCTGTCTACAGCTGCAATAAGTAGTGCTGGGTCAAGGGATGGAAACCGTAGTTGACAACACGGACACGCTCGAGGAAGCCGGCACGCCGTATGTACGGCGCGTAACGCTCGTCCCACTGGTGTGTCCTGGTGTGCGTGCGGGGCCTCAAAGGAGGCAAGGGCACCTCTACGTCGGTGTCACTCAAGATGTGTGCTCGGTGCGGCTCGTCGTACTCCACCTCAAGAAGGGGTACAACGTGTGCTACGTGGGAGGGGCCATCCTGTTACAAATTGATAAACAAAGAGTTAGAGTATTCAAATTAATGATATTCAAATTAACATTATGTAGCATTGCAAAATTTGAACAACTTGTTATGCAATAGGAACACAATATGAAAGCATATGTATATATTCAAAGTAACATTAACAGACATATTAAACAACTTCACTTGGAAAATAAATAACTTCTATGTATTCAAACGGACACAAACGTCATTGAAGCTAGGAGGTTCATCAAACCATTCTAAATCGCCGTATCACGCACTACTAAGTACCGACACTTGAAAACTAGTATCTATACTGACAACCTTTACTACTATAAACTAACTAAATAATAAATACATAATCAATCCCTAAACCCAAAGGTCTAACTAACAGTAACCTAAACCCTAACTACCTAACCAAACCTTAACTATACTACAACACACAACGTAAACCCTAAAAACTACCTTCCTAAATAAACAAATTCACTAACCTAACTATACTAAATCACTAACGCTAACTATGCTAAATCACTAACCTTAACTAAAATAACATTCATAATAACAAGAAATCGAGAGAGAGAGTACCTTGATATGAGCCAAAGGAGAGGAGGCGGCGCCGGGCAAAGCGAGGCAATGACCAGCATGCGGAAGAGGGGAGGCGCCTGGTCAAGGTGTGGCGGCGACGCCAAGGTGGGGTCAAGCGCGGGGCGAGGCGGGGGGGATGGCGGGCGAGGCGAGGCGCAGGCGACGCTGGGCGGGTGGCGACGTTCGAAGGCGAGGACGGGCGCAGTGGAGCGTCGCGGGCTTTTAATTGGGCCTTGCCACGCCACAAGAGATGGCGCGTCACAGCCGCGCCAAGATGGATGGCACGGCAGACCCTACCACGACGACGCCACATCATCCTCCCGCCGCGCCACCATACATGGCGCGGCACAGACGTTTCGCCACGCCATAGCAATAGACGCGGCCAAAAGTGTTAGTTAAAACAAACAGTGTTAGATTTAAAATTAGTTTAAAAAAGTATTAAAAAAACCGCCCTGTACGTAGCATTTCCGTCAAACCAAACAGCCCATGATGCTTCTCGGACTCATGCTGTCCAGCTCGAAGGATTCAATTTGGTGGCTTGCACTCTGCCACACCAAACATAATTTACGAATCTGGACTAGAACTGAAAACAGTAAAAAAAAATGAAACCATTACACCTGAGATAGTGAGATGCAGCAACCATTGTAAGAGTTAGGGTTGCAAGAATGGCACAGTGAGATGCAGCAACCATTGTAAGAGTTAGGGTTGCAAGAATGGCACAGGTCGCACAAATAATGTTATTATTGTAATTATCGGTGTCTTCTCCCCCCTGTACCATATGGCATTGTAACCAAAACATCTCCACACTACACATAACATCTCCACACTACACATACAGAAGCTAGGAAAAATATATGTTCCACTACGATCAAAATTGGGACAAAAATTAAGAGGATCATGCTGTTATGTGGTAACTAGCAGAATCAACAAGTGACAAAGTCCTTGGAAGTTCAACTTATTTCCCTCATCGACGATTTTTCTGCCTCGTCTTCAGCATTGCGTGACCTGTTTCTTCCAAGTGAGAAAACAACTTGTTCCTACAAGGAGACCATTTTCAGCTTAACCATATTTTTTTTCAAATTCCAAGGGTACGATGGCAACATAGTACTGGGAGGGGCGAAGAGGGGGGAAATGGTAGCTGCAATACCTTGACTCAAAAGTTCCTCCACAAGTTTCACAATCATTACTGGGTGCCTTCTCCTGATACATATAACAAGTTCTATCAAATCTGGGCATGTGCAATTAAATCTACAGGTAAAGTTTTGCCGTAGTATATATACTATAACTATAATTCAATATCAAGGTTATCATACCACAACCACACACAGTAATAGCAGCTATTAAAGTTCTGTGAATTTTGAATATAAGCAATTTCCAATTGAATGCTATCAATTGAAGTTCCACAAACTTATGATAATTTGGCTTTCAAATAAAGTATACAAACACATAATAAAAGAAAAAGCAATCAGCTTTGAGTTCCATGCTCCACAAGGTAATGAACGCATTTCCAGTAGCAGTGTCATAATACACAATACCAAAACAGTCAAAACATGGAGCTACCCCCAAAATTCTCTATGAATGCGCAACTATGTGTAGGTTTAGGTAGGGGTGTAATAAAACTGCAAAGAGCCAAAGCCAAAATCTACACCTTATAAGTTAAACAGAATCACAGGACATCTTATAATATGATAAATCATAATAGCACATGCAACCAAGATTGCTCTCTTTTTTAAACTTTACTCTTAATCATTTTGTTTAAAAATGACTGGAGCCCCTCCCCACTACGCTTTGCTCTTTTCTGAGGTATGGTCGCTATTGGTGCTATATCAGGCAATAGCGGTGCTAAACAGCTTAACAGGCCATTTATTTAGCAGCGCTAAACAGATTCCACATGTTCTGTAAAGTTAAGAACTTAAGCAGCCGGCAATCAGCATTTGATTGTCTGGTTGGTGTTTACTTATGTCATAGGCTACTGGACAAGTACTTATGTTATATACCTTATCTTCTACCTACTTATTGCTTATGTTATGTGAGCAATTGTTAGAATTTTTTATGGAATAATGGCTTTTCTGGCCTATAAATTGCATGTATTTTCCCAAAACGCTAAATGGCTTAGCGTCCACCATAGCACCGGTATAGTTGTCACAGCAGTTTGAGCAAGCCACCACTAAATGCCATAGCTCGCTATTTTCAACACTGAAAAATACTAATCTATACCCTATCAATGTTTTAAAGGCGTCGCCTAGGCGTCCAGGTGAGGGAAAGGGCTGGGCGTCGGGGGTCGCCTAGCGAGATGGCGTATGGCGTCCGCCTTACGTATTAGGCGTCCGTGCCATCACCAACTAGCCTGCGGTGGTCGCCTCACGAGCAGGGAAACCAGCGCGGGAAGGAAGCTTCTCCCGCACCTTCCGCGTGCCAAAGAAGTCGAGCGAAGGAAAGGAAATCACGCGCGGGAATGGAAAGGAAATCACGCGCGGGAAAGGAAAGGAAATCACGCGCGGGAAGAGGGGGATTGGGAGAGAGGGATAAGAAGGGGAGGAGAGATGGAGAGAGGAAATCCATCACACCTGCCAGCTTCCGCTTCTCTGCGCGCTCACGCATCCCGCGTAGCTCGTCGATTCCCGCGCAGGAAGAAGGGGATTGGGGGAGACTCGTCGTTCCCCTGCTCTTCACGGTGCCCAGATCCCGCTTGCTTGCCTGTATGTCTCTCCTCTCCCTCTTCCTATCCTCTCCTCTCTTGAAGGTCGAAGCTTGCCTACTTTGTTTGCTGCTGCTCTGTTTCAACCCCTGCTGGCTGCTGCTCTGTTTTTGCCCCCGCTGCTCTGGTCCATAGATGCAGAGTGGAGTGGACTGTTGCTTCCTTTCCATGTGTTGTTCTATATTAGTTCTTTAATTCTTTGTTTTCACAGTTGATAGCACAATGGCAAGTTCAGATCCAGGGCAGAAGTATGCCTACTGGCCAAACCTTTCTAACAAAGATGTGGTGACATGCACCCTATGTGGTCACTCATTTTATGGAGGGATAAAAAGGTTGAAGCAACATCTAGCTGGTGGCTGACTACTGCTGCAATTAGAAAGGAGATGAGAGATGACTTGGAAACTAGAAGGAGAAGGCCACAGCATCCCTAGATGACATTGATTAGAGATTTCAGTTCTGTGCTAGCAGCAGTGCATCACTACTAATTATGTTACATTATGTCACTAGAGACTAGTTTATGGCCATTAAGAGATGAGAGATCTCAGAGTTGCTACCTTACTAGATGTTGTGCATTAGTAGTCTAGTAGCACCACTTATTATTGTATTACATGCTAAGAATTGGCAATATTAATGTCTGATTTGCTTCTGAATTTTGAGTTAACTTATATATTAACATGTTTATATGGCGTCGCCTAGGCGGTCGCCTTATTCGCCTAGGCGTCCGGAAGGGGGTAGCTCGCCTTGCCTCGCCTTACCGCCTTTAAAACATTGTACCCTATACACCTATTGTTAACGGTCCCATCTTTCTTTTTCAAATTGTGGAAGATGAAGAAGTAACATACTAACATCAGTATAGATTGCAACTTTACGATAGAACATACCACCCATTTGTATCTGGATTGCACAACAGGGTGAGTATAATTAAAATAATGTTGCGACCAATTTTTTTTAAGCAGAAACAGTGGTACTACATTAAAGGTATGTAAAAGACTACCAGAGTCCAAGGTTGTGTTTACCAAGTATGCAAGTAAACTGCCTAGTTCAGTATCATCTTCTCAATATGTCAGATGGCATTCTAGCCACTTACAACTCCCAGCATACATTATTCTGAATTATCCAAATGCCTGAGTTTTGAAATGTTTTAAGCACAAACTAAGATAACAGAAAAGGGTAGAACAAAGTAACAAACTTCCAACTACCAAGATATATCAAAATAACACCCCCCCCCCCCAAGGGTCATCTGTCTAGGAACCAATCCAATGTGATGTCTAGCTCTATTTTTACATTACCAGTATGCTATAACTCTTAGGAGTTAACTAATGGCCCTCGGATGATGCCTTGTTCATAATATCTTGTCTATGCTCTATGCAGTGCTATAAAAATTGTTCATAACATCTTGTCTATGCTCTATGCAGTTTTCAAAAGTATAAACAGTCAGAATGTGTCGTCTGGAAGTGGTAATCTTACACATGTGGTTCAAATTAGAAGTATGAAGGCGTGCTACAGGAATGAACAGCATAGAAGGTTTTTATTCCCAACTCAACGAGCTTGTTCAAAACCATACGAGGCTATATTGGCTTGAAGGAAAGAAAGTATTTGTACCTTTTGTTTCTTCCCCTTTGATGTGGTCTTCTGGTCAGCCTTTGATGTACTCTTCTGATCAGTAGAAACAGTTGCTTTCTTTTCTGTGCCTTTCTTGTTCTTTTTGTTCTTTTTAGGATTCATGTTTTCACCATTCTGCTTATCTCCTTTTCTTACTGAACCACTATTGTCATTAGAAGAGGATTGCCCTTCCATCATATCATCAACATCATTACCAGGACCAGATCCCTCAGGCTGAACCTCACTTTTACCATGATGCTCATTATCAGCATAATTACCTTCATCTTTTTCCTCCTTTGCTGCCCGTCGCCTGCGTCCTTTCCTTTTTGCATTATTAACCGCAGAACTTCTATGATCGTCATCATCCTCAGCAGCACCAGACAAAGCCTCCTCTGGAGGAGCCACATAACCACCCTTTCTGTTCTTGCGGCTTGATAGCATTGCCTCCAATACACTTGCCTCATCATATGACCCAACCTCCTGCTCTGCACTATCGAAATCCTTATCCCCATCCTCTTTATCGTGCACCTCCAAACCTTCCTCAAATTCTTCAGCTAACTCTTCTGCAGCATCTGAAAATGCACTCTCATCATCTGACTCCTGTGTAGGCTTAAAATCAAACCCCACATCAACTTCATTCCAATCACCTTCGCCCTCCTCCTCTGCCTCTTTCAAAGACTCCTCCTCCTGAAACGCCATCCTCAGCTCAGCGATCTTATCCCTATGCTTCTTCGACTGCTCGTGGTTCTTCCACTGTTTGTCCGATTTGAAGTTCTTATTGCACGCCACGCAGTACAGTTCCTCCTTCTTGGCCCTCAACTCCTCTTCTTCGTCTTCATCATACAATCCCTCCTCTTCCTCCTCCGCCCTCGCCCACTCAGGCTCCTGATATGCCATGGCTCGCTCCTTCTTCCTCTTCTCCTCCTCCTTCCTCTCCTTCTCCTCTGCCTTTCTCTTCTCCTCCTCCGCCTTCTTCTTAAGAGCCATGTCCACCACCCTCTTATCCCTCTTCTTGCAGAAGGCGGCGAGGCCCCTGACAGCGTCATTGTACTCCCGCCGCGCCCTGCGCATCGCCTTCTTGTTGTCCTCCTCCATGAGCCTCCGCACACGGCGGTTCTCCCCGCGCGCGGCATCCCACTCGGCCGCCCACCCAAAGTCCATGACCGAGCCGAACCCAAGCCAGTAATTGTAGAAAGCAGTGACCTGCGCATAGGGGGAATCGAGGTTACCAATGACCGGCGGCGCGGCAGGCTCAGGAACCCCCATCCGGCGCGCGTAGGCGAGCTCCTGCGCGAAGACCCTGTCGAAGACGTCCCCGTAGACCTTGTAGAAGCCGCGGCCCGTGTCGGAGAAGCCGGAGAAAGCGGAGGAGGAGAAGAAGGCGAAGAGGTCGGGGACGGGGGAGGCGGATTTGGCGCCGGCGGAGGCTGTGTCGGAGAAGAGGATCTGGGAGCGGTGGGAGTCGTAGTAGGCGCGCTCCTGCGGGTCGGAGAGGACGGAGTGAGCATGCTGGAGCTCTTGGAAGGCGGCGGTGGCGGCGGCGAGGTCGGAGCCGGGCGGCTGCTTGTCGGGGTGGAGCGAGAGCGCGAGGCGGCGGAAGGCGAGCTTGATGTCGCTCGGGGAGCAGTCGCGAGGTAAGCCTAGGACCTCGTAGTAGCAGCGCTTCGGCGCGCCCGCCGCCGCGGACGCCATCGCCGCTAGGGTTGAGGTGTCCGAGGGAAGGCAGGGAGAGGACCAGAGAGCAGGGGAACAGGCGTTTTCTATCGAGGCTTTTAACCGTTTGCCGTCATAAAAGTGGGTAATTATTAACAAGTCATTAAAAAAAATTAAGTTCGCACAGGTGTCACTACCGTGAACTTTTTTACTCAAAAATGTCACTTCCATCAGATTTGGTTCTAACGGTGTCAAACCGTAGTTATGAAAAATCTAAAATACCCTCAGGTATGAATATGTAATTAATTTTTTTACATCTTAATGACCTCAAATGAAAAAACTCAAACTAGAAAGTTGACAATATCTACATTTTTTTATAAAAATTATCTTCATTTAATTCTGTACAAAAAAAATATGATTTGATATTATTAATGTCCTAGAAAAATCATTTTTTTGTATAGAATCAAATGAAGATAATTTTTATAAAGAGTAAATTACACGGCCGGTGCTTAAAGTATCGGACAGGTTTCATATGGATCCCCAAACTATGAAATCGCACATTTGGCTCTCTAAAGTATTTAAGTGATATCATCTAGGTCCAAAATAGACATGAGAATGATTAGAACATGACATGGTCGTGATTTAAGCATGATCCCGTAGGCTACCGGCGCGTGGATGGTGCCCCAGCCGGGCCCTGCCCGGTACAGCTGGTTCCTGGCAGCGGCCTCCTTTTCCTCGAGCGCGCTCTGCGCTCCTCCTCTTGCTGCCTCTGCTCCGCACTAGGGAACCCCTGAGCCAGCGTCCCACGGTGCCCTGCGTCCACTTCACCACTTGTTGCGGTTGGCGTCACCACGGCGCTGCTCATCTCGCGCTGTGCGTCGCGGGGGCGGAGCATGGCCTCGGCGCTTCGGCGTTGGTGGCGTAGGCGCTCAACGGCGGGGATGGACGCCAATAGGTGGTGGGGAGGCCTCGTCGTGCTCCTGCGAACACACAGGGCCCAACAGAGACGACAGAGGTGGTTGAACGAGGGAGATCGTGAGCTGAAGTTGGGCTTGGCAATGGCGGCAGCGGTGAACTTTGGCGATGGAGAGAGGAAGGAAGCATAGGAAGGGACGGGGTGTATGCAGCGTGCTACTGCAGAGCTGAGGCGCCTTTTATAAACCGAGAGAGGAGAGGAATAGCTCGCGGTTGTGAGCTCGTGCACAAGCCGGCAATGGCGGCCGCGACCTGAGCGTAATGGACGACGCCGCCAGCCGAGGCAAGTGTGGACGTTACCACGCTGGGCACCGTGGGACGCCGAGGCAGCAGACCGCAACAGCGCCAGCAGCCATGACCGCGGCCGACGGGGAGGCCTGCGTGGTGGTCGCGATGGCCGCCGACATCATTTGCTCTTTTAGTTGCGCGGACCTCGCCGACTAGACTTCGCCATGGCACAAGCATGAGCCCGCCCGCGACGGCGGCAGGAGCAGGGCACGGTGGCGGGGATGACGCGCAGGACCTGGCCTGGCCGGCGGTGGCACGCGGGAAGCGCTCGCAGTCCCGGCACGAGTCCCCATCGGCCTCAAGCTCCGCCGTCTCCACGGATGCGAAGAAAGGAGAAGAAGAAGACGAGGCGCGGCACCCACGGTAGCCCCACGTCGCCCCTTGACTACAGCGGTGGGTCCAGGTCCGGCGCGTCCACTAGCGGCGATGAGGACAATGCCTTCTACTCCCAGGCAGAGCCACAAGTGTTCCTATCGGCCGCTGCGACGTTCCATCTCGCGGCGCTCATGCCCCCACCAAGGGGTTTGTGCCTAAATCATGTCCACGTGGACAACCACGTCAATTTCTAATCTTTCTTGTGTCTATTTTAGACCTGGATAAAATCACTTAACGACATTAGGAAGTCAAACGTGCGATTTGATAGTTTGGTGACTCGAATGAAATCGGTCCGATACTTTAAGGACCGGTCGTGTAATTTACTCTTTTATAAAAAATATTGTAGATCTCGACGAGATCTACAACTTTCTAGTTTTGAGTTTTTTCATTTGAGATCATTAAGATACTAAAAAAATCAATTGCATATTTAGACCTGAGGGTATTTTCGACTTTTCACTCCCATAGTT